GGGGTGTTTGTGGGAGTTTTGAAAGCTACCATCCATGTGCACAAGCACCAAAACAAAAACAGACTTGGGGCTTGCGTTGCGATGAYGTGGCATGGTACGGTCATACCACGGCTAATGCGCCCGATCCCATCCGATCTCGGAAGCCTATCGCCGTTGGGCCGGAATAGTACTGGGATGGGTGACCTCCTGGGAAGTCCCGGTGCTGTACCTACAGGCGAGTCCAGACCTTCTGGACTGCGATCTGCCAGGCCAGCCAGATGCCAGGCCAGATGCCAGGCCAGATCGCCAGGGGTTCAGGAGAGGGAATATATGGCATTCGATGGATGGGGGAAGGAAGGGATGCAGATGCCGATAATGGGGGATGAATGGGTTGGATGGATGCACACACCAAGTGCGGAGATATGACTCACAGCACAGCAAACGCCACGGCACAGTAGCAGCTGCCTGCCACAGTGGCGATTCTAACGAACTCGACCAACGAACCAACCAACCCACATTCATAGATTTTATGAGTAGTTTTTGAACATATTTTTTAGTAAGATGATTCAATCGAAAATTATCTAGTAATTGTAATTTGAATAATAAGAGGAATCGAATTGTCTCGTAAGTTATTGTATAATAATAACGTATTCTAATTACTCTCTGATTAATATCAAGAATAAATGGCAGTAAAGGCAAACTAACAAGTGTCTTTCAATTCAACCTTTTCTAGAAGAATCGAAAATGAATATCTATCTATATGTGCAACAAAAATTAACTGGCCGTATTCTAGCAGACTATATACTAAAAGATGATCGTTGCATTGCCAGTCGAAATCAAGATATATATCGCTTGATCTAGCAATTGAATTCGTGCTAAGGGAAGTTCATAGCTGATAGATTGTGCAGCAGCACGTAATCCACCCAGTAGTGAATATTTGTTGTACAATATTAGACTTTTAGAAAAACAAAAGTTAGGTTTTTATTATGGACTTACAGAACGTCAACTACTGACAACCGACCAACGGACTGACTAAAAAACTGGCTCGTACGCAATTGGAGGTGGAGGGAAGAAGGAGGAGAGGAAAAAGAAAAGAAGCCGAGGGAGGCAGGGAGGGTGGAGACCAGCGAAGCGCGTACTAGTACCCACACGAGAAGAAAGGCCGCCAGCCAGCTCAGCTCAGCACCACCATCTCGCTGCTGAGCGAGGGAATGGAAGGCCAGCAGTTTTTTGTCGATGGCTGCCGATATCATTCACCTCACCTTCCGTCCACAGCAATCAACCCAAGGCCGCCCCCTGTTACCCTCGCAAACGGACAAGCACTCGGGGCCGAGAAGGCCTGACAGAACAGCTACCTCTCATGATAGCTCCCATGCCACCTGCAGCTCCAAGCCCCGTGGTCGCTGCGTTCCGCCGCCCAACAAACAAGCAGTCAGAACCGGGGCCCTTCCTCACTTCCCGAGGGCGCTGTTCCACCGTCCATCCTGAGCCCTCAAGAAGGGGCCTTGACATCATGTACATGTTCTGGGCTAAGGCCCCAGCAAGCCTCGTGCCCGCCCTAAGTGAAGGCGGGCCAACAAATCAACAAGGGCCCTCTATGCAAACATTTCACGAAGTGGGGTCCATACAGTTGCAGCACGCGAGTTGGTTGGGGTG